TTTTTTTTTTTTTTTTTTTTTGGCACTGGATGGAGGTGAGTAGTTAGTTTCATTCCCTGGCTGCTTTATGCCCAGGGAAAGAATCTCCAACACCCATTACATTAGAGCCTGGGTTGGCCTAGAGTCAGTTTGGTTGCTGTTCTTTGACCATATGGGGAAATGGAACCACAATTCCTTGGCCACTCTGCTAGCTGATCTAAGTGAATTAAGTAGGTGCTACTTTTGGCTAAGTAAATTATTACTGAATTTTGCTTTGTCTTTATATTGCATGTCATGTTTTGTACCAGTTATGAGCCTGGCTCATGGGCACATTGAAGGCCAGAGAGCTACTCTGTAAGTCTGAATTAGTGAGCTTTTCTGGGTAGTTTACTCTCTTGGCCATTAAAATACAGTACTTGACCATGCATTGTCCCACTTAAAGGCACAAGGGATTAGTCAACTCCCTCTGTAATTAACTGACAGTTATCTTTCATTAAATGTATTCAGAGCATAGTAAAGTCAGTGGACTTCAGCATCATATACTAAGACTTCCTCTCTTGTAAGTTCACTGTTGCTGTGGTCTGTCTGTGTTCTGAGTTGAGACTGATGCAAGTTCTGTTTCATTATGCATTCTGTACTTTACATTCTGGCATCTTTATGTGTGGTGCATATGGTTGAGAGCATGGTGACTCCTCACTGTGCAGGTCAACAGGGCAGCAATGGTTCAGCTCCTGGCCACCAGACAGAGCAACCACAGCATGAGGATGAAGACGACGATGAGGAGGAAGGAACAGAGGGTCAGATATAGCATCTTTGTTTTTACATTAGATTTCTCAGATTTCTTTCTGCAACATTGAAATAGACTGACATGACTTCTGTATATAAATTCTGCTAATTCTATTCTTCTAGCTGACAACTGCCCTTTGTAGTACATGTATACCTTATATTCAGCTTGCTTGAGCCCAAGTTAAAATTTGATTTTGTTACTTTTATACATTTCAGGTATGTCTCATATTAAAAAATTATGGGAACATACTCTCTCCTGCCTGAAATCTTCCATGCTCCCATATGAACATTTAGTATTGTTTGATTTCATGTCAAGATTCCTGTCTATGGTAGATTATACCAATTGTAGGGAACCATCACAGTGCTTTAAAATTTTGTTGATGATTGTTATATATGTTCCCCTGAGGAAAAACCAAAGCCATTTGGAGATTGGACACTATTTATCATAAGGATATATTTTTAACAAAAAGCATGGTTTCTGTATTTTATTATGACCTGTAGACATAAAAACATTAAGCTGATCTTGCAGTAGAAGTGTGCAAAGCAAACTGGGCCCCAAAGCATTTTTGTTCAATCTCCAAATCTCCTGTATATTAACAGGTTTGTTTCTAGTGAGATTGTGTTTTGGCATAAAGGTAGTTAAGTTCATTAATCTTTAACTTCAATGCAGGACAGCTTCTTTTCATACATCACATGTAAATCATGTAAACTTTTTTGCATTGTTAATGAAAACCAGCTACCAGGAACTTATCAAAGTTACCATAGTCATGTTTGATTCCCCATAAGACTTAAAAGTTGTGCATCTCTGTTTTAAAAGATAGCTCTGCTTATTTATTTCAAACACAATACTATTTGAATCATTGTCATCTTCAGGATGGTGTTCCATGTACATGTACTGCTTACTGTATTATTGGTATGGTAGTTTGTAGCTGACAGTTTTCAAATTGTAATTTATAATAATTGTTACGGCGCACTGATGTTAAAACCCTAGGGTCTGCTTACGGTTACAGAATGATGCTAAAAATGTTTCATTCTTACACAACTCTATTGAACATCACAACACAACAAACAGAAAAAATCAAGGTCAGCGCCCAGCTATGTTTCGCCACATGTTTCAGCCACTAATGGCCATCATCAGGCAAACACATATTAACAAACATATACCATTGAACTGCAGTACATTAGATTGTATGCAGTGTTATAAATCATTTAAAATACTCTGCATAAAAATAGAATGAGTCATGATATGTATGCAGTGTCCGTCTTTTAGTGCACTCAATTTCACTTGTTATTTCACAACATGTTTCGGCACTATAGTGCCATCATCAGGTGCTCCATTTATGTTAATCTATTTCATTGCTTGCCATTATGTCATTGTAAAATTTAAAAAGTATTTAAAAATGTTCATCAATTTTAATAAATATTTATATACTAAAAACTTGTTAAGGTTATATCTTATCTGTCCCAATTCTAACAATAGAACAAGTGAAATAACAAGTGAAATTGAGTGCACTAAAAGACGGACACTGCATACATACCATGGACGAAAATCAGTGCAACAGGATGCTAAAATACAACAATAAGTCAATTTATATAAAGAAAACTAAAAGTTATTGTATAAAACAAGATAAAATTGATGTTATATAACATCAAATCAGTCGTTGATATTTTACTTTACATACGTTTCCATGGACAAATTGGAAATTTGATATTTCTTTTATATAAGAATGCATAGGAGGCCCATGATGTTGCAAATTAATTAATTGTATAGTCGGTGCCTCATCTTACGGAGAATTGTCTGTACCGTATGGAAAGAAAACGACTTGCTTTTCTTGCTTTTATGTCATTCTTAACTTGTATCCATTGAACAAGTGATGAATATGTAGATTTCTGTATTCTGGGATGTGACACCATGTAATCTGATAGATCATGGCTGTCATTTTAGAGGAACGTGGTGCCTCCATTTTCAAGGTAAACAAATATGCTGAGTGTAGAAGAAATTGATTCTGATGTAGGTAAAGGGGTCCAGAACTGGTTCTACAAGCAGACCTACAGGAGACAGCACTGAGAAATGACAGATATTCCAGGGGCAGGTGTAGGGAAGGGGGAACATGAAAGAGGAGGGGAGAGAAGGTGGATGTGTCATATGTTAGCAGCATGTAATGAACCACAGGCATACATATGCTTGGAACAAAACATTCACGCAGAGTGTGTGTGTGCACGCGCTTGCACACGCTTGTAAGGGGGAAGAGATCCCTGTACAGTTGTTTCAGTGGCTGCCAAGTATTTTTATATTTCATGAAACAGAAATAGATTAGAAATATAAGATCCTGTTATAGAATAAATGAAGGAAAAGAAATGCTTCTTGAGTTAGAAAACTGAGTACATTGTCCCTGTTGTCACAAGTTACAGCAATAAACAATTGTGTTGTGTGTGTTTACATTGGAAACAAGTTCAGATGTGGGTACGTCTAGCAGATATTTTTAAGGTACATAACATTTAATTCAGTATATAAAGAGAGTGTATGAATAAACCTGTTTAAATAATGAATTATATGTGTAAGAAGTAGATATTTTGTTTATGCCCTGTAATGACTTGCATCCAATGAAATCAAGATTAAGAAAGGTTATCATAGATATCATATTTTACAAAGTTATTGTGATAGCTATGTTTAACCTTTATCATCCACACATTGCACTATTATGATTGTTCTTGGTTTGGTACAGAAGGTCCAGCAGCCACTGTTTATAATATAACTATCATTGCTCCCCAATTAAAATCCAGTCACCAGTGCCATACAGATGGGAGATATAAATGCTCAGTCCCCAGATAATTAAGGTTAAGGATCATTTCATGAGGCAGACTGTAATAAACTATGTACACATATTCTGTATGCATGTTTCCACTTAGACTGAATCAAGTGTGTGATTCTTAGAATATTGTGTGCGAAAACCTTGGAGCGTGGCGGAGTTGAAACGTAAGCAGACAACTGCAGTGGTGCTTCTTGGAGTGATTGGAGCAGAGTTTGGCCAAGATGTGAGTGATGGCAGCACAAGGCGAAGGGCTAGTGAAGATCAGAGGCGCAAGAGTTCTGTTGTTGAAGGCTTCGGCATAGGCAATAATAATCTTGCCCGGCTGACAAGTATGTCATTCTGAGTCTTTATTTGTGTAACAGTAAGAATGTGTGGAAATTAATCTACTGAAATTTCAACTTTTTCATTTGAAAGTAATCTTACGTTATTTTTCTTCCTCTTCATCGTCTTTGAATTTTTTCCATATCATGTCCATCCATGACATTTCTGTCAGTCTGTGATTTGTCAACCATAACAGAAAGATGAGTTTTGTTATTTAGATGGAATATGTGTGTAAAAGAAATTCCTGTCTGTTAAGAAGTCCTCAAGAATATCTTGTGGAAATGAGTCCCAGCGAACAGAGTTTGCCAAGAAATGTGAATTAAATGTCTTGTATTTCGTTCAAGCCATGAATGTTATCAGTGAAGAACTGTTGCTATAATCATTTTGCAGTCTAATCTTATTATGTGTTCCTCAGACTTTGGAAGCAGTGAAACATTTTCCATGTTTGTTCATAGGTCTTGCTCTTACCCACTTACTCTTAGCAGCACCGTCTTCACGGCTACCTGCACACACACCTCTCCGAAGGGCTGCCATAGATTTGATTGGTCGGGGTTTTACAGTATGGGAGCCTTATCTTGATGTATCTAAAGTTCTTCTTGGGCTTTTGGAATTGTGCTGTGAAGCTGACAAACTCATGCCAAGGTACATAAACTGATGAAATTGCTATATTTATCTGAATTTAAGTCAGCTTAGCTCCACATGTGAAAGCAAAAACTTTAAGAAACATTACTCCAATGCTGAAGAATTTTTCTTAATGTCCATAAATGGAGAAGTGTTTGCTTCAGCGGAACTGACATGATAGCATCATGACATACAAGGTGTGTCCCAAAATTCATGAAATATATTTCTTTCCCGCACTCCTACTGGTCGGAGCACGCTGGAACCGGTTAGGTTGGGGGGGGGGAGGCCTTTAGCTTCACAGCGCGCCCAAGTTCAGTCTGCTCGAGCGTCGGAGGTGTCAGTATCGCTGATTTAGTGCACGTGTGTTTTGTGACCACATCACGGCGTGCGATGGTGGATACTTTCGAACAACGTTGTGTGGTCAAGTTCTGCACAAAGCTCAACAAAAGAGCCGCCGAAACTCACGAAAGCAAGCCTATGGGGAGTCTGATGTATCATATGTGCAAGTTACAAGGTGGGTGAAGAAGTTTAAGGAGGGCCAGGAAGGAGTGGAAGATGACCCCTGCTCTGGATGGCCATCAACAAGCCAAACCAATGAAAATGTGACTCGTATGCATAATTTGTTGAATACTGACCGTCGAATGACTGTCCAGTTGTTAGCCGACATTCTGAACATTCCAAAAACCGTTGTGCATCACATCGTTATGGATGAATTGAACATGTGAAAGGTGTGCGCCAAGCTGGTCCCCAAATTGTTGACGGACGAGCAAAAGGCCAGTCGAGTGTTGATCACGAGTGAATTGAAGGAATGTGTAGAAATTGAACCTCATTATTTATACTGTGTTATTACCAGTGATGAAACGTGGACATTTGAGTACGACCCAGAAACGAAGCGCCAGAGTGCTGAATGGCACACTACGGCTTCCCCGAAACCAAAGAAGGCAAAGATGAGCAAATCAAAAGTGAAAACAATGCTCATTGTCTTTTTCAACGCCAAGGGTGTGGTCCACAAAGAGTTTTTACCCCAAGGACAGACCGTCAACACTCCCTACTACATGGATGTTCTAGAAAGATTAAGGAAAAGGGTCATCCGCATGCGAAAAGACATCACCACTAACTGGCTGCTGCATCATGACAGTGTGCCCAGCCACACATCTCTGCTTGTCCGTGAGTTCCTGGCGAAGCACCACGTGGCAACGCTGCTGCAGCCACCCTACAGCCCTGACCTAGCTCCGGCCGACTTCTTTTTATTCCTGAGGATCAAGACTGCACTCAAAGGACACTGTTTTGAAAGCATTCAGGCTATCCAAGCGGCCCTGACAACAGCTTTAAATGAGGTTCCCGTTGAGGCCTTTGAGAGGGCATACCGGGCATCGGAGAGTTGGTGGAAAAAATGTGTAGATGCTCATGGACAGTACTTTGAAGAATATTAACACTTTGTACCGATATCATCAATAAATTTAAAATATATATATATAATTTCATGACTTTTTGGACACACCTTGTAAGTGATATTACTGATATCACTATCACCTCTACATAAATATTATATACTGGGTGATACGTAGCTGTGCTTAGATAGTGATGACATTGCTAATAATGTACTCACAGTACTGAATGAATATTCCAAGTGATTTGTGATATTACTGTCCCCCCCCCAGAGTAATTGCCACTGGTACCTGGAGCTGCTCTTGTAGCCCAAAATTTGTTCCTTCCAAATTTTCATAGTGTAACATTATCTCACATTTTTTGCCAGTAATAGGATTATACATAGCATGGGGTGATGAAATGCTAGAGGGAAACCTTTTTGGGATTATCTGCATTCAGATTAACCATGGGACTATTTTAGGGCCCCTTAGTTATTGACTATTGCCCATTGCATCACTTTCGGTAATACTCATCAGAGAAGGTTTACAGAAATTTGCAATGGACTGTACATACCCTCACATTTTTTGCAACCATTTTCATTTTTATTTTAATTTTATTGTTTTCCATACCATCCTACTTCCACTGAACAAGGTTTGATTTCTACTAGTGGAAGAATATTTGGTATTTACACATTTTTGAATATCCATTGTTTTTAATTATCCATGCCACATCTCCCCTCTGTTATCACAGATAATAGAGATTTTACTGTAATGTCTTCTTCTTTTGATTCATTGAACTGTGCTTTTATTGACAGCATGACATATGGACTGCCACTGACACCAGCAGCTGATTCATGCCGTACAGCTCGTCATGCCCTCACCCTCATAGCCACAGCACGTCCTGCCGCCTTCATTACTACCATGGCAAGGGAGGTGAGTTTTATGCATGAAGAACAGGTCCAATCCAATGCATTGAAGCTCCATATTTAATTATCTCCATTCTGCTGTTACTTTCTGTTTGTTAAGATCTAGTATTCTCTTCAGCATGGAACATGGTAGTCTCCAGGTAAGGCAGTGGGCTGTCATTCATAGAGTCCAAAATTTGATCCCTAGTCTGGTCTGTGTCTGGATTTTTCTGCTCACAGATTGAAACAGTCACCTCTATCGAAGATGAAAACTTTGAGCATGGGAAGGATCCCCACCACACACACACACACCCAGGTACTCCTTCTGCTGACCGTCATTCTCATGATCACCCTGTGGCTGGGGTCAGCAGAATCTGCCCTGTGGGTGCTCATGTATCAGAAGTTGATTTGTTCTCCTTACCTAGATGAGCAGAAACCAGACAGTTCAAAACGTATCTGGCCACATTAAAAATATATACATGTTCTTTTCACCACATTATCTTTCAGTCTTTATATTTTCTACATACGAGGGTAATTCCAAAAGTAAGGTCTCCTGTGTTTGAAAATATAAAATAAACATTTATTTTCAATTTTTGATACATCAGTTGAATCTTGAACATGTACTCATTTCTGTACATAATCGCCATTTCGGTCGATGCCTTTTTGTAGGCGCAGTGGCAGTTTTTGTATGCCCATGTCATACCAGTTCACCTCCATGCTGTTCAGGAAACTTCGAACCTCAGCTTTCACCTCATCGTCGTTGAAGCGCTTTCCAGACAAATGTTTTTTCAACTTTGGAAAGAGATGGTAGTCACTGGGCGCCAAGTCCGGACTATAGGGTGGTTGGGTGATGATGTTCCATCCAAACTGTTGCAGTTGAGCGACGGTTTGTCGGGCAGCATGGGGGCGAGCGTTATCGTGGAGAATGCTTACGCCCTTGCTCAACATCCCTCTTCTCCGGTTCTGAATCGCCCGCCTGAGTTTTCTCAGTGTCTCACAATATCTCTCAGCGTTTATTGTGGTCCCAGTTTCCATAAAGTCAACCAACAATACCCCGTTTCGATCCCAAAACACAGTTGCCATGACTTTACCGGCAGACTGTGTTTGCTTGAATTTTCGAGGCTTAGGCGAAGAGGAATGCCGCCACTGACGTGATTGTTGTTTTGTCTCAGGTGTGAAGTGGTACGCCCAGGTTTCGTCGCCTGTGACAATTGAATTCAAGAAGTTGTCCTTTTCGTCAGCATAGCGGCGAAGAAATTCACGGGAAGAGTCAACTCTCTGCCGTTTGTGGTCTTCTGTGAGCATTCGCGGGACCCATCTTGCGCACACCTTCCGATAATTCAACTTCTCTGTCAAAACCCGATAAATGGTGGTTCGGGAAACCTCGGGAACCGAAATGCAGAGATCATCGAGTGTGATGCGCCTATCCTGACGCATGACTCACTCAATCTTCGCGACTGTCTCGTCAGAAATTGACGGTCTCCCAGTTCTTTTTTCGTCGTGTATTGCAGTACGACCATATTCAAACTCCCTACACCACTTGCGGACGTTCTTTATGTCCATGCACGACTTGCCATACACTTCCACCAATTGACGATGAATTTCAATTGGTTTAGTCCCTTTTGCGTTCAAAAACCGAATAACTGCGCGAATCTCACACTTCGCGGTTTTAGTAATCGGGAGCTCCATTTCTAACAGCAACCGTGCCAAGACTGAGCGTCCTAGCTACGTGCGCGCATGCTTGGTGGTATTGGGGGGAGTGAGGGAAGCAACAAATGCAACAGGGTTGCCAACAGCCGCATGAAAAATTACCCAGTGCTTTGGAGACCTTACTTTTGGAATCAGCTACGTATTAAGAACTCTAATTTCAAAACAGTGGATAGAATTCTGATTTTATGTAGTGAAATATTAGTACGAGGGCTATTCAGAAAGTAACCTCTGTTTATTTTAGGCAGCATTTGTAGGAGCAGGGTAGAACTCTTGCATGTGAGGTGGTGTCACATGACTTACTGCCTTGTAAACCATCACATAACTGGTCACCTAGTGTTTATTCTTATCTCTACAGAATGAGTTGTGATGTATCCTGCAAGTGATAATCCCACCAGCTGCAAAATTCATGCTGTTATCTGCTGTTTTCACACCAAAAACTTGAGTGCTGTGGGAATTTATTGTGAATTATGTGTGGTTTATGACCAAACTGTAAAGAGTGAAGTAAGTGTAAGACAGTGGCGTAGAATGTTCAAAGATGGGTGGGTGAACAGATTATTAGTATTATTATTATCATCTCTTGTCACAGGTTTATTTCCTGGTATTCCTTTTCTTGAACCAGTGATGCACCTCACCACTCAGGCTTCAAGCTTCGCACTGTAGCACTTTCCGTAGTATGTGTGATGTTCCCAGGATAGCTGTTTTTTGCAGTGAATCTATGGAGTGCTTACCAGGAATTAGTTCCAAATATTTTCTCAACCCTCTCATAACTGTACCCGTGGCTCCAATAATTACTGGTATCACAAAACATTTCATGTTCCACATTCGCTGAATTTCGATGCTTAAATTTTTATATTTTAATTTCTTCTCTGCTTCTTTTTGTACTACATTCCTATCCGATGGTACTGATACATCTATAAGTATGCAAGTTTTCTTTTGCTTGTGTTTAATTATTATGTCTGGCCTGTTTGCCAGAACCTCTCTATCTGTTTGTACGCCTTGGTTCCATAACACGGTTATATCCTCATGTTCACATACTGACTTAGGCACGTGTGAGTACCAGTTGTCTAGTACTTCAATTCCAAATTCTTTACATATTGAGTAATGTAAATGCATGCAGACTTTATCATGCCTTACTATATATTTGTTCTTCGCCAAAACGGGACATCCTGATGTTAAATGGTCTATAGTTTCTTCGTATTCTTTACACAGTCGACATTTACTTCCGATCTCGTCTTTCAATATTTATCTCTTAAAATAGTTTGTACTGATTGCTTGGTCCTGAGCTACTACGATTAAGCCCTCTGTTTCCCCTTTAATGCCTCCAAATTTCAACCATCGATAGGTCTGTTCCTTATCCACCAAAGTGTCATCTAAGCTGCATGGGTATTGTCCGTGCATTCTTTTCTTTTCCCATTTTTCTTTTGTGTTCTGAGCTATTGCCTTTTTTTGTAAAAAGTTTGTCTGCTTGCAGGCTGTGTTAGGCGAAGAACTTGTGTTGCGTTGGTGTGTCCTAACAATTTTCATCAGTTGATATTCTGTTCCTTCTATATATTCCGCTAGGTTTGTGGTTTCTGCCATGTAAGCCGCCTCTATCTGTATCAGGCCTCGTCCTCCCTCTTTTCTAGGAACATACAGACGGTCTATATCTGCTCTTGGGTGATGCTGTCTGTAAGTAGTTAACATTTTTCTTGTTTTCCTGTCCAATTTTTGTATTTCCTCTTTGTGCCAGTTAATAATTCCAAAACTGTATCTCAGTACTGGTACTGCCAATGATCCAATTGCTTGCATTTTGTTTTTTGCATTCAGCTCTGTGTTCAAAATCAGTCTTAAGCTTCTTACATACTCCTTCTTCAACCTCTCTTTCTCTTTCTTGTGTTCTATCTGGTGGTTCTCTTCTATTCCCAAGTACTTATATGCTCCATTTGTTTCTAGTTCTTTAATTTCATTCTCCCCTGTGTTTTCTACATGCTCTTTTCTTTGAACCTTACCTTTTTTATCGAAATTCTGGCACATTTTTCTAATCCAAACTCCATTTTTATATCACTACTGAATGTTTTTACAATTTTAATCTCGTCCCTCAATTCTTCCTCACTTTTTCCTAACAGTTTCAAGTCATCCATATA